TATTACTGATAATAATAAATGTAAGTTCAGATTGTCATGTTATTCCCATTTCTTTCCTTGCCCTGAAATCACACCTGGCTGCAGGATCACCTGCAAAGCTTCTGACAACACAGACAGCCCAACTCTGAATCAAAGCCAAGATCTTGAAAACTCCTGTTAAGTTGGTATTGATTTAGCAGTTTGATGAGATCACCCATTTACCAAAACCACCCCTGCCCTGTCTGCTAGGAAATGGCAGCTCAGGAGGACTCACTCCACATCACCTCTTCACAGCTGACTGAAGTTGTTGGTGACAGACATAAAGCCTAAGCTGTCTCACCGTCTTTTAACAATAACCACTTCACACCATCAGTGATTCCTTTCATTTCTGGAGTTAACAGACCCATCCTCATCCCACCTCCTTCACATTTCTACGCAGTCCTCTGCAACAGCAGCTCAAGACAGTCAGTTACCAATTCATCACTGCAGGTCCCTTTCTTAACCAAGTCAACACTCTCTCCCTGGCAGACTTCACTCAGACTCAGGCCTCCCTCATTTTCACACAGCACCTGCTATGCGCTGGCATTGCTACCCCCTTCCTCAGTGAAAACAACTGCACATACCCACTGCCGGCCACTCCATTTCACCTTTGACACTGTACTGATTCCATTCCTAACAGTTTCAGGGAAATAATTCAGGGGCAATTACAGTGATTAATGAGGTTTTGGAGAACAAACTTTACAAAAATAAAATAAAAAACCACCCCCCCACCCCGAAGGTAGCAGTTTTAGAAAGATAAGCAAATAAACTAATGTCTTTTAAGCAGTGTCAAGTAGGAATACCTACATGGCCTTTCTACACTGTTATAACCTGAAAAACTCTCCACTATTTCCCTAGCTACAGGAAAGCCTTGGCAAGCTCCACCGGGCAGCATCACCTGGCACCCCACCTCCCACATGAGCAGAACTGGGCTCTAACTCACTTGGCCAGCCTCCTTCAGCTTGTAGCAGGAACTTTTGCTGTGTTCCCAGCCCAAGCTTAAAAGTTTTAATTTTTTTGTTGGTACTGGGGTTTGGACTCAGGGCTTTGTGCTTGCTGTTGGAACCACACCTCCAGCCAAAAGATGCATTATGTCAGCCATCACAACTCCTACCCCAGTACCGTGCTCCTTCACAACTCAACTGAGACTGGACACCACCACCTGGGGGAAGCCAAAAGGGAGATCCGTGGAAGAGCTGTCTGTACCCTCACTTCTTTGATGCACTCACAAGTTTTGCTGAGAATGGGTGAGAATTCACACAAAGCTGAAACAAATTTACCCAAATTAACTGCCGCTTCTAAAAAAAAAAAAGTGTTCATGTAAAGTGGCATACTGAAGAAAACTGAGGGATTCTCCGTAGTTACTGTGTGTTTAAATCACTGTGCAGTGGAGAAATACCTTTGCGTCTGAAGAGTTAAGGAAGAACATTTTTAAGTGTCAAGAACCTTGTGTGCCAAATACTGTATTCAGTCAGTGTGCCTGAATGAACGCCACTCAAGTTACGACACAAGAACACCCTTGGTTCTTTACCACGCTGAGAGCAGATAAGATCTAGAACCTTGGTGAAGCAGAATGTCAGAGAAATATGATCACAGAAAGCCACGAACCACTCCTCACCAAACTAGCTTTCCTCAGAACATCTACTGCTTTAAACACAGGAGTATGTAAAACAATCCCAGTACAGAGTAAAAGCCCAGCTGGCACTCACTGGAAGGTTCTTCATAGATGCATTTACAGAATACTCTTAATGAGAGGAGTAACAAAAAAAGCTATTTTCTTAGGATTTCTTCTCTTTTTCTCTGTGCTAAAAATTACTTGACCTATATTTTCACTTAGGAAGTAAGTCTAGCTAAGGAGCTACTACGGTTTACAGAAACAGAACTTCTGCTCTACTCTTTCTGACACCAGAGGCTTCCCAATGTCTGGTGGAGACTTTTTAACTAAGGACTCTAGACAGTCTCACCATACCAAAGTCATGCGTGGCTTTTGTCCCCTTACTCCTACATTTTCAAACTTTCTCCATATAGGACATTAAAACCAAGTCATGTGTCTATTACATATGATCACTACCACAAAAAGATATAAATAAATGAATTGGATTCTGAGGATGAACAAAATAAAAGCAGGTCAATCAAAAGAAATGGGGGATTGGTTTAGAATTTAGCGCTTGCTATCTCAGTTTTCATTTGTGATTTTATGTATTTCCCTATTATAAGAACACATACGATGGCCAAGAGTACAGTGACAAAGGCCCCAAATCATTTTGGGGGCCTTATTTACTGCAGTCTTAAGAGATTTTTTACATATAGTTCTAATATTCATTAAATAAAAAGCATGTGTTGTTTTTCTTGTTTTTAGTCCAGTATCACAAAATGTGCCACTTACCTATGTAAAAAAGTCTCATACCCTAAGAAAAAACTAAAGGATCCTTTCCATTCTTACAGGTAGTGAGCTCAACTTTGTGTAGCCAACCTGAATTTTATAGAATCACATGTAAGTTTTAAACAAGTTTCTCACCTCTCAATGTCACCTTAATACATATGCATACAAGTTAATTTACAAAAAGAGAAGGCTTTAGGTTAGAAATTGTCTTGCTGTGGCAGGAATTCTAGTACTTTATAGACAGGCCCTGATGTGTCCCTACATGAGGAGTCTGGGAAAGTAGGAACACTGAAATTTGTATTTCCCCTCCTTAATCCAAGCATGTCAAAGTCTTAGAGAAAACCATCTTATCTACACATCCATGCTTATCACTGCAAATGAAAACATTAGCACTTGGAATTGTGTGGATATGATAATCATTCAGATAAAGAAATCAATTTTAAAAATCAAATGATCTGTTAAACCTCCAACTTTTACTTTCAGAGATATCTGAAGCCTAAGTTGCTGTAACTCAAATACTTTCCTTTTTACACATTTGACTAAAATTATAGCGAGTATACCTACCAGACCTGGACCAGGTTAATTGCATAGGAAGATTTTTACTATGTTTACATTTTTCTTAAATTAATTTTAAAAAAGCATAGTAAAGAGTCTGAGGACAAATTATTCAACTGTTTATCATACATAAGACCGCATGACTATAATACAAAGGGGGGTTCTTTTTTCATTTAACGTTACAATATACACAGCAAGTCCGGACTAGATCTTACAATCTGAACACAGGTATTTAACCTTTTCCATGCTGTTTATGTTTACAATGCACAGAAGTCCTGTAACCAAACTGTGTAGTAAAGCACACAAAACTGGACTGTAACATAACACAGTATGCAGAAGCATTGGATTTTATGATTTTCTTTATGTCAATATCGGCTTAAAAACTGCTTTAGTTTTTTGGTGCTTGCTAAGATGTGCATCCAGCACAGAAAAAAAATGACCTGACCCATGTGGTGTCTTAGCCTTCTAATCCATCTTCCTAAACAGCAGTAACTACTGAATTGCTTTTGGTATTGCGATACTCGAGATGATATCCTTTTATTTACTGTAAACCTTTATGAACTACCAAGTTCAAAAAAAATCCATAGGCTTGACATTTAATTACAAAATAAATATGGATTTCCTGATTAATAACAAAAAACTTTTGTGGTTTATAAAAATGGGTATTTCCAAGTTTCCATTTACATAGTTTTAAGCCTTTCTTTTGTCACTGTTTACATATAAAAACCTGCTTTTGTTCAGAAAAAAATTGACCTAGTCAGCCACATGGAGTTGACCAATAAAAAGTAACATGGTGTTCTGCTGAGTTGTTTAAACAGGGTTATCGGCAGAGGTAGATTACTGCTTCTTTTCTAGGCTTCTTTTGATCCTGGACAGATAAATAACTCTATCTTCATTCTCCCAATTCAACCACTCAAAAGTATAACACCCTAAAATTGGTCAATTTAAAATGGGAACACAAATTTAGCAACTGCCAGACTGTGTTACATTAAGGCAGCATAATCTCAAAACGAGGCACCTGTTAAATACCAGCCTGTTCACTTTAGGTCATGCTGAGAGTTCTGTTTTACTCCTGGCTCCTAGTTTGGACCTGTTGGTGCAATCAAGGTCTTGTGTTCAAGTTTACAAGTAGGCTAATCAGGAATACAATAATCACCTGCTGGCTCCATAGCTTCTGGATCCAGAGTCCCCTTACCTTCAGAAGCCTGAACACATTTAGAGTGTGACAGATGTTGTAATCTTGAGTTAGATGTCAATCTATTATGCTCAGTACACAGATTGCTGTAAATGTATTGGCTATGGATTCAACAACAGTTCCAGTTTTGTTTAAGCAATAGTACAGCCATAATTTTCAACTGACATTTAAAAATGGTCTAGTTACACCTTGTGTCAAAGTGCAGAACTGCTACATTATTGGTTACAGACATCTATGTGCTATAAAAACAGCTTTGGTACAATAAATTATCAAAAAAGAAAATAAATTTTTGTAAAATTCACAGCATAATTGTGAGGCAAAAAAGCAGTCACATAAAATTCTGCATTTTTTAAAAATGTTCAGGATGAACAGAAGACATCTTTGTGCAGAAGAAATGGTGGAGATACCACGTGCCGAGAAAAAGCAAAAGAAAAAGTAAAAAGCAGGAAGGGACACAGCTGTAGCTATTTCCATCAAAGCAAACCACTACTTCTGTGACCTTCAACCAATAAGGAAGTCAACTTTATGACACACGCAAAGTGACCTTGCAATACCTTACAATTAGTGGGTCACAAAAGTCTATTTTAAAAGAAAGGCCTCTTGAATTACCCATTCTCTGTGTTTTCAGCATTAAGGACTGTCTGCAAAAGCATGTCCATAAGTGATTGCATCTGAAATGGTAGGCTCTTCTAACTTCGAGTCCAAATCCATAAGGCCAAAGGTTATCCCAAAGACCACCACTCAGACCTCCCCAGGACTGGCCACGACTGACCCGTTGATTGCTTCTTTGTGTAAGCTGGAGGTCCCTCTTCCTTACAGTACTGCATTTCCGTGCCCAAGTGTGTTTAGAGGACTTAAAAACCCAAATTTCCCACCCCCCACCCACCCAAAACAAAACCAAAACAGGAAAAAAACAAAAAGGAGAAAAATAAAACAAAATACCCTCATGGGGCCCTTTATGCAAATTATGTGCAGTGCCTTTTTATGTTAAAATTAGTTGGCAAATGACCAAGACCAACATCTGAACATTAACTTTTGCTGAATAGAAAGACAAAAAACCCCACTATGACTGAGAGGTGGCAAGTTAAATGGGGGAGGCAAAAAGAGGATACCTCTGAGCTATCCATGAAGATGGGTTTGGACATGGCTCTTAAAAACTTCATTGTCCCTTTGCAATCTTTTCAAGTTAAAAAAAAAAAAAAAGTCAGCTTTGCCCTCTTGTAGCGGTTCAGTGTGTTAATCTCCTTCTGATTCAAGCAGCTTTGCACTTTGTTTTTGGAAAAAAACACCACTTCTATAAAAACACACAAGAAACAAACTCAAGTTTCAATGTAGTCACGAGCTAGCTACAGGACTCTGTTGCACACAAACTCCTGTCATAGGGGACTCTTCTCTATCAGCCCCTTGCCTCATCGTCAGATGTCCCTCAGTCATGTAATGTGCAGGACCTGTATTAGCAGAAAATTGGTACGTTGGATGTCCAGCTATGCCAGTCTCTTGGCGGGGATTGGAGTAGACGGTCAAATTAACGTCCATAGCTCCATTTTGTCCAAAGTCCAAGGTATTAGCAGCCACTGGGCGGTTCTGGTAGGCCTGATTGCCTTGATTACCAGTAGAGGAGGAAGATGTCGAGGAAGAAGTCGTTGAGGAAGACAGGGATGTCATGGAGTGGTGACTGTGGCCAACCTCCATAGAATCCTGGGTAGAGGAGCTATTTGTTGGAGAATTGTAGACCCTTGGCCTGGTCCGGTTACCCAAGGCTTGCTGTCCATGGTGGTGGTGGTGGTGGTGGTGATGGTGGTGGTGATGGGAGCTGTTTCCATGGTGATGATGCAATGCATTCTGCTGAGGGGCTACATGAAAGGTTGTTTCTTGAACAGGATGAGTTTCAACAGTGACTTGTGTAGGAGCTTCAGTGCCTGACCAGCCAAGAGGAGCTGGAAACTGCTGACGCACCTGTAAGAACACAGTTTGAAAGGATTATTCTGTTAGAAGCTGCGACATGAGTGTTTACGTTAACCAGGGAGAGAGGATGCTTTTTAAAAGAAGTTTGATGTAACACAAAATTCTAAGTATGTGTCACAGGGAAAACACTTCACCATGAAATTGGAGACTTTTAGGAACTTATACCCACAAACACTCTCTCACATTTCACTAGCCACCATCTTTCCTCGGGAGTATAATCCTTACCGAGGGTCAGTAAACTGTTTCTGTAAAGGGCCAAACAGTGTTCTTGGTAGGGCCATCCGAAAGAAATTCTTTACTTCCTCACCAAAATCCATCCTGTCTCCATCTTTCTTGTTACAATAAAAGGATTACTATCTATCCATCAAACCCATCAAGTACTAACCTACCTTCAAAACAGACCTCAAACCTGGCTTCTGCCGCCATTGCTTAGCCTAGGCTAATTAGAATCCCTTGCCTAGACTAATGCAAATGAATCCCCTGCTCCCAGCCTTGCTCTTCCCCAGCCCATTCTCCAACGAGCAGCAGGAATACCCTTTTAAAACACAAATGTGGTCACTTCCCTGGACTTCCTTTTGTGACTTCCTGCTACATTTAGACAAACAAAATAATCCAAACTCCATACAATGCCTGCATGATCTGACCAGTGCCCATTTCTCCAAACTTCTGTATTCACCTGGGTTCCAACCACATCAGATCTTCTTCCATTCCTCCGCCTGCCTGAGATCATTTCAAGCTCCAGGCATTTGTACTCACTGTTCCCTTCTGCCCAGACTCTTAGTTGTAATATCCGATTAGATGCCACTTTCCTATCACTTCAATTCCAGACTTTTTCTTAACCACTCTGGCTAATACCACCCCAATCCTCTGTGGCAGAGGCTATTGGTTATCCACAAAAAGTGTATTTTTCTTATTCCTGGACATAAGGCTGTACTATACCTATACTTTCCAGCTTCCCTCTTAATCAAGTTAAGTGACCATACTGGAGGAAGGGGGTGTCTATCTGTCTTCAGTTTGGCCTCCTTTAATTAAAACACCTGATCCAATAAATTAGTCATTCTCTATCACATTAGCCTTTTAACTATGTATCTATCTACCTATCTATCTAGTGATGGGGACTGAACCCAGGGCCTCATAGTTATATTGTATTGTTTAGGGAATAATGACAACAAAAAAGTCTTTACATGTTCAATATGGATCCAAGTTTCCTTTCAGAATATTTCTGATCTATATTTGGTTAAACCCATTTAATCAGAACCTGTGGCTGTGGCATGTATACACCTTTGATAGTTTAATTTTTAAATCAGGCATAGTAAGAAATTAGCAACAATAACTAATAATAAAATAGGACAATTATAACAGTGTACTGTAATAGAAGTTATGTCAATGTAGTCTCTCTCAAAATATCTTACTATACTTTTCTACCTTTTCACTTAAAGGAAGCACTTTATAGGTATTCTCTGACATATCTGAATCACAAGCATCTCTACTCTTATGCTTTAAGTAAAACAAAGTATTGAGTAAAATGAGGGTTACTGAAAACAAACAGTGTGGTAGTGCAACAGTCAATCTGATAATTGAGATGGCTACCAGGTGATTAACAGGCAGGTTGTATATATACAATACATGGACAAAGAGGATAGCAGACCAGAAAAGGATGGTATCATTGGCTACTCAGAAGTGCACACAATTTAGAACTTACTTATTTCTGGAATTTTCCATTTTAATATTTTTTTTTAGGCAATAACTAACCATAGCTAACCAAAACTGTGAAAAGTGAAACAGTTCAAGCCCTAGTACCACACACACACACAAAACCAGCAAAACTATAGATAAAGGGAGACTACTAAAATGGTTTTGTGTTTTGCTTTTTTTTTTTTTTTTTTTTTTTGTGGCGCTGGGAATTGAATTCAGGCCTTAAGCATGCTAGGCAAGTGCTCTACCACTTAACTGAATGCCTATCCCTGTGATGGTTCTTATGTAATGAAACTACTCAAGTTACTAGACTGTGAAGTCATGTGGAGGATAACTGGGCAATAGTTTATTACAATTTCAGGTCACCTTAACCTTTGACTTGGCAACGTCACTTCCCATTGCTTTCAGGAATTTATATAAGAGACATATGTGTATGTGTGAATGAGACATGTGCAGGGTTATTTATTATATCATTATTTGTGATAGTAAAAAAGATAAACTAATTATCAATTCATAAAAGACAAGTGCAATGACTTATGGAACATTTAAGCAATAGAATACTGCAAAGCTGCAAAAATAACATCTGTAGTGATAAGGAGCTTCAAAAGAGTAATCAAGTAGGTGAACTTGATCAAAGTACACTATATGCATGTATGGAAATATTAAACCCCTTTATACAATTAATATACACTAAGAAAAAAAAAAGAGCAAGCTCCAAAATGTACACCAAACATGTAGGAAAAACAAGATGTGAAGGTGTGTATGTATGGTATATTTGTATACAGAGATCAGGTGAAAAATATATACTTGTATGTGTAGGAAATAACACCAAAAAAGATACAAAAAAAAAAAAAAGGTAATATTAGTTTTTATTAGAAATTGGGTGACCAGAGGACATGGAAGGACCTTTCATTGAATTCTCTTTTATGTATACTTATTTTTTAAATCATGTGATTGTATCAACTAAAATGGCACACACCTGTAACCTCAACAATATTGGAGGCCAAAGCAGGGGAACTGTGAGTTGAAGGCCAGTTGAAACAAGACTCATCTCAAAAAAGAAATTTTTACTCAATTAATTAATTAAGAAAAGAATTTGAGATCAAGTATGACTTCTGTCAAATACAGGCAGAAAGCACACAAGTACCTTCTGTTATCCTGGGTGCTTTCTTACGTGTTCACAGCACTAAAGTAAAAATTTGGGAGTGAGGAAGAAAGAGCAGTCTAAAGACTTTGGGAATAGGTCACATTTAAGGCCTAAAGCATACAAGGTAGTCACGAGATAAAAATGAGAAGAAAAGTGTTCCACGTTGAGAATACAGGCAATGAATGAGAGAGCGAGAGAGAACAACATATCCCAGAATTTGAAAAAACTCAGTGTGAGCAGTTAGGGTAGAAGATAAAGAAAAGCCTGGACAGGAGCCAGATCATAGAAATTAGTACCACCTCAGTGAGATCTAAATTTTAATTTTAGGTACAAGGGGAAGCAAAAAGCTAGTTAAAAGTAGGACAAGCATGGTAAGACTACTTTAGTGATATTCACTTGGCTGCAGAAAAAAGAATGGTGCTGACAGGTGAATCGAGTAGGACACTGAAAGATCACTTAAACTATTCTTCACAGGAAGAATAGACAGGCTATAGACAGCTCTAGCAATGAGATTAAGAGAAGAGAATAAAAACCCAGGAAAATCAGAGAGAAGAGGGAGAGAAGTAAAGATTCTCTCCCATAGTCCCAGTTTATGATAAGCCAACAAGTGAAGTTAGGACCATTCTTACAAAGAATACGCAACAGAAGGGTTGGACCGGGGGTGAAAATGATATCACTGTCCTACTGTTGAGACTCTCCAAATGGTATTTATGCCATTAGAAATCATGGCATTGGGGCTGGGGAGTGTAAGTCACATAAGACTTAGGAAGGCTTGACATAAAGATGTTGAGTGCGATCACTAAGAAGAATGTAGGGTGAAAAGAGGCAGGCCATGTGTCATCCTTTAGGGCACACTCAGGTTTCAGGGTGAGTAGAAGAGGAGCATCCAAAACAGGAAGGGCAGGCCAGAGAAATGAGGGTTTACAGGATACCAGGTGAGTAGACTAGTGCACAAGTCAACACTATCAAATGCAGCTGAGGAATGAAAAGGAGCATTAGGATGTTCCCTGGGCTCATCACTAAAGATCATCACTAACACTGACAGTGGAGATGGAGGTTAGGAATGTAACTGAAGTGAGCAAACAGTCTTTAAATGGTGAGGAAGAGGAGAACAAAGGTAGCAAAAGTGTAGGGTGAGAAAGACAGAGGGTCAGAGAAAGGTATTGCTGTCTATGGGAGAGGCTGAAGAATGATTCAATGCTGCTCAACAGAAGGAACCAGGAGAGCATGAGAGGCTGAGGACACAGGAGCTTGAAGGAGAACAAAAGCCTAGTCCTGATGAGGGATAGAAGCAGGTATTACCAGAAGTAATACCTGCTTCTAATGAAAAACTGTGAAAGAGAAGAGGGTAAGTGTGCACAAAGTCAAGACCATGTTTAAAGACGCAAAGTAGAGATCCTGTCTGAAGACTCTCCTTTCAAAGCAGGAGAGGAGAGACTGAGATTTCTATAAAGACTAGGAAAGTTTAGAACAATTCTTAAAGAGAATGCGAGAAAGATGGGATGACTTGAGAGATATTTAAGATGGCTCAGTAGAGACTGGTGAGTATTAATAAACAGTGGTGACGGCATCGTTACGGAAAGATTTTTCTCTAGCAGCACTCAGTTGCCTCAGTCACAAAAAATGGTGAATGATACTAATCAACACCAGTTTTACTTCATCCATCAAGGAGCAGACTGACCTCTTACCCTAAAGCAACACAGTGTAGTACACTAACTTGTTGGGTGCTGGGGGCTCACACCTGTAATCCTAGCTTCTTGGGAGCCTGAGATCAGGAGGATTACAGTTCGAGGCCAGTCCAGGCAAATAGTTTGTGAGACCCCATCTCCAAAATAACAGGAGCAAAAAAACAAACAAACAAAACAAAAAACAAAGCAAAATGAACCGGAGGTGTGGTTCAAGCCGCAGAGCACCTGCTTTTTAAGTGCAAAGCCCTGAGTTCAAACCCCAGTCATTCCTGTTCACTCCCCACATAAAATTACTAAACTGGATCCTTTTCTTTAACTGGTTTAAAATACAAAACAAAACACTTGGAGGCTAAAATCCAACCAATGCACTGATTTAGAAACAAGGACTGTAAGTGCTTAAGGGAAAAAAAAAAAAAAGGGAGGCAGAATAAAATTTAGAAATTAAGGCTGTAGCCAGCTAAAGTTATTTAACCTATGAAGTCTCAGCCCCCACTGCAAAATGGGAATGAAAACTGTGTGAAGCTAATGAAGTTGTGAGGCAAGTAAACATGGAGGGAAAGCATTAGGAGCAGTGCCTGGGGCATGCCCAGTCAATGTTAGGCATGTCTAAACAAGAGGGGGAAATTGCCAGAACACGCTTCTTCAGTTTCAAGTCTTTATCTCCTCAGAAATGGGGAGCTGTGAGCCTTTAGAAAGTCATTCTACAGGTACTTGGCATGCACTACTGCCGAAACCTAGCAGGGTAGGTGACAGGAGCACTGTGTGGCAGCTCACCTGGGGACTGTGCGTCTCACAGTCCATGGCCTGGACGGCAGCTGTGAAGTGCCCACCGCTGTGCCGATGCTGGTGCGTTGGATCCGACCTGGCTCTCCCACTGTTGCTCGTCCCAGATGATCCACCTTAAATAGCAAACACAGGATAACTGTGAGTTTAAGGTGAATTCTCTTCAAGTTGTATTCTGAAACTACTCTATATTCTATACTATTAAAACTGAGAGCATGCCATCAAAAAATAAAGTCCACAGGTTGTCCTCAAACTCTTTCTGAGACAACCCACTATGATCCCTGAAAGTGCCTCTATTCTAATAAACTTCACTATGTAATATTGTTACTCTCACCCTAGAGACAATCTACTTTCTGTCTAGTCAAAGTATATTCCTTTCCTAATAAACTTTCACTGCAAAAAACCAAAAACAAAACAAAACAAAAACCCCTGTAATATTGAAGTATATCATGAAGTCACTGGATTCTCTGGCTAAAAATTAAAAGTTAAGTCCTCTTACAGCAACCATTATACTAAATATAGCCAAGTTTGGCTAAGTTAGGGAAAAACTTAAGTACATGGAAACATTTTAAACACAATTTAATAAATAGTTTTGTTTCCAACTACCAGAGATGACTACAAATTAACTATAAAAGCTATGAAGGAGATAAATTTACAACTAACTACAACAGAGTTGTGTGTCGTCCCCCGCCCCTCCCATGTTGGGTATTGAACTCTGCTCATGCAAAGAACAGATTTATGAAAAATAATTTCTCCCTACTCTGTTTACATATATATATTTCAGGTGCTGGGGTTTGAACTCAGGGCCTTATGCTTGCTAGGCAGGCATTCTATAGTAAGCCACTATATTACCTTTTCTTGTATTGGGTATTTTCAAGAAAGGGTCTCTCGAACTATTTGCCTGGGCTGGTTTCAAACTGAGATCCTCTTGATCTCTACCTCCTATAGCTAGGATTGCAGGTGTGAGCCACCAGTGCCCCACCCCATTTACAAATTTAAAAACATTTTAGAAGAACCCCACTTTGTAAAGCAAACAAACATGTGCAAGCTAAAGCCCCGAATTGAAGGAACACACCTGAGCTTGATGATGTACTGGAGGTGGTGCCTGAAGACTGGGACTGCTCCATTGCAGGACTTGTAGACACACTGTTACTTGTATTTGTACCTTCATCAGCTGTTTTCTTGAAAAAACTGTGCTGTAGAGCATAATAAGGTTGAATCCGAGTTTTGGGGTCATAATCAAGCATCCTTAAAATGAGGTCTTTGAACTTCAAGTAGTCAGCTACCGTATGACCCGACTCCCCAGCACGTCGCCCACCAGGTCCTCCTGTTTCTACTCCAAGAATATTATGAAGTTTACGTGTTCCTGGTGGTTTGTACTCCTGTAAGAGAAGATCGAGGCTTTCTCTAAATTTGATGGAATGTGAAAAACTTACAGAATTTAACTTCAGATGTTTAACTATCTTATGTGTGGAGGCCTTCATTAGGAAGGAAACTATATAGTTAGATCCCCTGCCTTTTCACACAGTACTATTTGAATGCACTGTAGTCAGAGAAATTTAATATAATTTTATACCCTAAACCACTATGAACATCATCTAGCCAGGGATAAGCAAACTACAGCTTGACGCAGAGCCTATTTTGTATAGATTCAACTAAAACATGGTTTTTGTATTATCTTCAAGGTTGTAAAAACAAGCACACAAAGACAAGTAAGAATGTGCAGTAGAGGCCCATAGCCAAAGACATTTACTATGGTTCCCTTTATAGAGGAAGTGTGCTGATTCTTGTTCCAGCTGATGGCTTTGCCAGAGATGTGACCATCACTCCAAGTATGTTCAAAGAAGCACTAGGGTAATCCAACTGTTCACAGGAAATAAAGAAATTAAAAAGCAAATTATGCCTGCCTTTTTGGGCAGGTGGCAGAATGGGATTTGAACTCAGCAGGAGCTCTACCACTTGAGCCACTCCTATGGTCCATTTTCCTCTGGTTATTTTGGTGGTGGGGTCTTGTGAACTATTTGCCTGGACTGGCCTCAAATCTTTTTTTTTTTTTTTTCATTTTTCTTTTATTATTCATATGTGCATACAAGGCTTGGTTTGTTTCTCCCCCCTGCCCCCACCCCCTCCCTTACCACCCACTCCACCCCCTCCCGCTCCCCCCCTCAATACCCAGCAGAAACTATTTTGCCCTTATCTCTAATTTTGTTGTAGAGAGAGTATAAGCAATAATAGGAAGGAACAAGGGGTTTTGCTGGTTGAGATAAGGATAGCTATACAGGGCATTGACTCACATTGATTTCCTGTGCGTGGGTGTTACCTTCTAGGTTAATTCTTTTTAATCTAACCTCTTCTCTAGTTCCTGGTCTCCTTTTCCTATTGGCCTCAGTTGCTTTAAGGTATCTGCTTTAGTTTCTCTGCATTAAGGGCAACAAATGCTAGCTAGTTTTTTAGGTGTCTTACCTATCCTCACCCCTCCCTTGTGTGCTCTCGCTTTTATCATGTGCTCATAGTCCAATCCCCTTGTTGTGTTTGTGGCCTCAAATCTTAATCCTCCTGATCTCAGCCTCTCAAACAGCTAGGATTATAGGCTTGAGCCACCACTGTCCAGCATTTATGCATCCCTTTACAAAATTCTTCATAATAAGTTACTTTTTACCATGTATTGAGATTTTTTGAAATCTCATTTTTAATAGACAATAGCATCATTGAACTTTTGCGTCTAAGAATAATGTAGAAACAATATGAGATTATTACTTTTTCCACTTTAAAATCAAGAAGCAGGACAAGTCACAAAATAATTTTTAAAAACCCATCAGAGGTGAGGGCCAATGGAACCAGAATTAACTGAATTCTAGAAAACAAAAAGCCTCTTTCCCTCCTCCCTCCTACCTTTTTAATTTTTTTTCCCTAATTCTGGGAATTAAACCCAGGGCCTTGAGCATGCTAGGAAGTGCTCTTCCACAGAGCCATATCCCTAACCCCAAACTACCTCTCCTAGGAGAGAAATGACCTATGGTAGAAGAATCACGAGTGGGCAAGAACAATCTACCCCAGTTCTGAACCAGCTTCTGACAATTCCACATGGACAGAACAGCAGGAGGAAGAGAGCTATCCCAGGTCCAGAGAATTAGGACAGGCAGTAATGCAGATAGAGTTCTAGTGTCTCCCTAGGATCCAGGACACACACACTCATTAAAGGAACCCCTCAAACAGTGGTAAATACAATTTAAAGCGAGCAAAGAAGCCCAGATTCTTTGCTCAGCCCCATACTAATGACACTGACTCAGCCCCATACTAAGTGGCTTGACAGAGAAAGAGGTATGTCTGTTTCTAATAGGAGATATGATTTATCTCCATCTCAACTGTTCTTAAATATAAAAAGTTTGGCAGAGGGGTGGCAGAGCACCTGCCTAGTAAGCGTGAGGCCATGAGTTCAAACCCCAGCACCCAAAACAAACAAACAAACAAAAAAAGTGTATAAAAATTACAGATACAAGAAACAAATCAGAGAAATCCATAATCAAGCTAAAAGAAGAGGTTAATATATAATCCACATTAATTAGTGGCCCAGGTGTTAAAATTGGCAGGCAGGTATTTTCAACTAAGAGTTTAAGGAAGTTAGCCTCAAAAGTTAAATAATGTGTGGACAGATGGGGAAATTTCAGAAGAGAAAAACTAATTTTTAAAAATTAGGACAAACAGAAGTGCTGGAAATAAAGAATATCACATGTGAAGAATATACTTAATTTAACAGCAGACTGCACTAAGAATAAAAGAGAAAAGGAAAAACAACAGTGAGCAAGAAGAGCAAAGAAATTATCCAAACTCAAAGCACAAAAGAAAGCCAGGAGTGGTAGAATACGCTTATAATCCTAGCACTCAAAAGGCTGAGGCAAGAACACTAAGGAAGTTTTTGACACCATGAGCTACATAGCAAGTCCCCATCTCAGAAACAAAAACTATCCACACAAGAAAACAAAATGAAATGAATAACAGATTTCCAAACAGAAATCTGTGGGCAATACCAAGCATGAGAGGAGAAGGAGAGAGGGAGAGAGGGAGAGACGGAGAGAAGGAGAGAGAGCAGAATAAGGACTTTAAAAGATAAAATGAAGATTTCTAAACACTGATGGAAGAGATCTATTCACAGATCCAAAATTTTAATGAATTTAAGGAGAATAAATATACTAAAGCTGCACATAATAAAACTACTGAAAATCAAAGATAAACCTTAAAATCAGTCACTTTAGATAAAGAAACAATGCTGAGAATAGCCACTGATAATTTCTTCAAAAAAATATGACATCTTTTTCTTTTGCTGAAAGGGGAAATGGCAATCTAGAATTCTTCATAAGTCTATTATTCTTTTTTATTTTAAATAGATGATAATGTGCTCTAAGGTTTACAACATATGCAGAGGTAATATATGACCAATGTATAAGAAGACAGAAGGGAGTTACAGAACTTCATGGCCAGGAAATCATTTATCAAGTGATATCTGAAGGTAAATTTATGTAAAAGATGCATATTATAAAAGCAACACTAAGAATTACACACATAGAGTAAGTAAGAAGTCAATAGAGGACATGAAATAAAGTACCAAAAAGTACTCGATAAGCCCAAAAGAAGGCAAGAAAGAAGGAATAGGGAACAACAAACAGATAAAACAACAAAAATAAGACAAATCTGAAACACCAAGTTCACGCCAAGTAAATCAGTGAGCTAAATATTCACTGTAGAAGAAACCATCAGAGCCAGGAGCTGGTGGCTCACGCCTATCATCCTAGCTACTTGGAATCTGAGATTAGGAGAAGCATAGTTCCAGGCCAACCCAGGCAAACAGTTCACAAGACCCCATCTCCAAAATAACCAGAGCAAAATGGACTGGAAATATGGCTCAGGCAGTAGAGTGCCTGTTTTGCAAGTGTGAAGCCCTGAGTTCAAATTCCAGTCTCATTAAAAAAAAAATCAGACTCAATTAAAAAACATGCCGCATCTGTATGCTGCATACAAGAGTTGTACTTTAAATCATAAACAAAGAAGAGCAAGACTGGAGGCATAACAATACTGGACTTCAACAGCATGGTACTGGCACAAAAACACATGTGAAGACCAATGGAACATAACAGAAAACCCCATAATAAACCCACATGGCTACAGCTATCTGATTTTTGATAAAGGAACCAAGGTCACACACTGGAGAAAAGACAAACGGTGCTGCGAAACTGGTTATCTATAATGCAAAATCCTGCAATGAGACCCTCTATTTCTCATCCTGTACAAAAATCAATTCAAAATGGGTTCAGATAATAACGTATGACCTGAAACTTAGGAACAACTCGGGGAAACTCTTCAAGATACAGGCATAGGCAATCACCCAGGAAATAAGAGCAGTAGTTGACAAATGGTATTACATGAGATTAAAAAGTTTCTGCACATCAAGGAAACAATTACTAGAATAAAGAGACAACCCACAGAATGGAAGGAAGTCTTTACCAGCTATTCAATGGATAAAGGATTAATATCTAGAATACTCAGAGAGCTCAGAAAGTTACACAGCAAAAGAACAAATAACCCAATCAATAAATGGGCAAATAAATTAAACACAGTTCTTAGAAGTAAAAATGGCTAAAAACCACATGAAATATCCCACCTCCTTAGTCATACAGTAAATGCAAATCAAAACTACACTGACATTCCTTCTCACTCCAGTAGAATGGCTGTTATCAAGAAAACTAGCAACAATAAAATGCTGATGAGAGAAGGAAAAAGGAACCTCTTACACTGTTTGTGGGAATGTAAGCTAGCGCAAAATCCATGGGAAACCAGTATGGAGGTTCATCAAAAAGCTAAAAATAAACCTTCTTTATGACCCTGCTGGTACCACTACCAGGCATACATCCAAAGGAGTGTAAATCAATATACAAGACATGTTTATTGCAGCTCTATTCACAACAACCAAACAGTTGAATCAGCCTAAATGCCCAACAACTGATGAATGGATAAAGAAACTGTGATACATATACATAATGGAATATTATTCAGCTATAAAGAACAAAATGATGTTGCTTGCAGGAAAACGGATCGTACTAGAGATCATCAAACTGAGAAACAGCCAAGCTCAAGACAACAAATGTTTTCCCTTGATATGCGGAATCTAGGTCTGAAATGATGGTTAATATCATTATTATTATTAATGATTATGAAAATGGGTCATGAATGTAAAAGGGAAACTATGCAGTAGGAAAAACTAGGAGAGGGAGAGGGATAAGAGAAGGTACTGTGAAGTGAAGAGATTTGTATGAGGTGTATTACATGTTTAAAGACTGGATAATGAAACCCACCAAATACCACTTGAAAGCAGGGGTGGGGGTTGAGGAGCTAAGTAAATACAATGGAGGAGGTGAATGTGTTCAAAGTACATACACATCTACGAAAAATTTCATAATGCAACTCCCTGTATTATTAATGATGCCCAAAATTTACAAATATGTAATTAAAACAAGTCATACTTTAAGCATAAAGGTATGCTTATTTACCTATGTTAAAGGTAAATGAGTAAAACATATACCATGAAAATGCTAAGAATAAGAAAGCTGGTATGGCTCCAGTAACATCAAAGTAGATGAGATAAAGAAAAGCACTATCAAACATATGGAGAGACAGGTCATGATAAAAGGGTCAATTTATCAGAAACCTGTTGAGTATTAATGAAGCTGCAAAAATTATGAAGCACTAAAGGGAGAGCAAGCCAAAGCCAAAACCACTGAAGGTTAGTACGCCTCCGTATTGAATAAGCAAACATGATACATACGCACAGAGCAAAGTTATAAAAGATGTGAAAAAAACTGTAACACAACTTGACCTATATTCTGGTATTCGCAGGTCCCTACAACAAGCATACACAAAGCATAATTTCTGTCATGTGCACATGAAACAGTCATCAGGACAGATTGCATGATAGGCTATAAAACAAGTCTCAATGAATTTTAAGTGAGTGAAATCATGTTTTATAATCATAGTGCTACTAAACTAGCAATCAGCAAGATATCCAGAAAATGCTCAAATATTTTGAAATTCTGTAACAAAAGTCTAAATAATATAGGTTAAAAGAGAAATCAGAAACACCTAAGAATGAATGATATTATAAGTTGTGATTAGGTAAAGCAGTAATTAAAGGAAAATTTATACTGTAAGTGCTATAAGGAAAGGCTAAGTTTCTTAGCTTCTACCTTAGGAAGTTAGAAAAACGGGCTGGCGATATAGCTCAAGTGGTAGAGCACCTTCCTTACAAAGGCAAAACCCTGAGTTTAAACTCTACCACTCTCCTCTTCCACCCCAAAACAAGTTAAAAAAAACAGCAAAATTCAACTCAAAAAGTAAGAGAACAAGACACAATGCGGAGCAAAATTAAGCAGCATAGAAACCAGACTAAGGATGGGGGGCAAAAATCATACTCAAAACTGATTGTCTAAAAAGATTAATATACTTGATAAAACCACAGGCAATGCTAATTGAGGTAAAAGAAAAACACATGTGATGAATATCAGGAATAAATGGGAAATATCACCATAGATCTTCAAGAAATAAACAGATAATGAAATATCATGGGTAATTTCATGTAAGCTGAGAAGCAAAGTTTCTTAAAATACACAACTCATCAAAACAAACTCAAAAAGAAAAAATATACAAATAGCCATGAATTACAGTTAATAACCTGACAAAGAACATGTCAGGTCTGATGGTTTTACCAATTACTCATATTAAATATTTTAAAATAAATATGCCAATTTTATACGAATACTTCCAAAAAACAAAACCCAAAAAAAAAAAAAAAAAAAAAAAAACCACTCTCCAATAGTATTATAGGGTCAGGAAAACCTTAAGATCAAGCTCTAATGACAATCCTGTAAAACTATGCAGGGCTGGCAGAATGGCTCAAATGGCTCAAGTGGTAAGGCAGCATGAAGCCCTGAGTTAAAACCCCAGTAATATCCTATACAAATATTATAGTGACAGAAATAAACTCCTTACCAATAAACTAGCAAACTGAAATCAACAATATATAAGAGGATGGTATATCAAAGCCAATGTGGTTTATCATATGTTGGGACCTAACATTCAAAAATTAATGTATTTTACCACATAACAGAAGGAAGATCACATGATCATCTCTATTGATTCAAAAAAAGCATGTGACATGATTCAAAGCCCATTTATCACTTATGAAAAAAAATAAGTCCCTCAAAAGATACATGGAAAATAATCATTTCAATCTGAGAAAGGGTATTTATAGAAGTCATTCAACTAACATAACATGGAATGATTGCATACTTTTCCCTAAGATGAAAACAAGGAATTAACAACCCAGTAACAAATGGGCAAAAGACTGGAAAGACCTGCCATAAAAGATGTTGGATGGCTAATGAACACTTGAAAAAGCAGGTCAGTATTGTTACTCATGGAGAAACTCATATGTTACAAAAATATATAATGATAAAACAACTTTGAACAATAGGTTAGTCTTATGAAGGTAAACACACATATACCTTATAGGCCTGTCAATTCTACTCTTAGTGCCACCAGAGAAATGAAACTGTGTACAAAAGATTTACACAGCCACGTTCCCAGTGACCTTATTCATAATAGACCCTAACTGGGAGCAGCAAAAAAGTTCACTGACTGATGAATATAGATAAATATGGTATAATCATTCAATGCAATAAATATAATAAAGCAATAAAATGAAGTTCTGAGATTAAAAATATGAATGAATGCCCCAAATAATGTTAGGTGAAAGAAACAAAACAAAATAATACATACTGTAAGATTCTAACTTATATGAAGTTTGCCTGTTCATTAAACTAACCCATGATGACAAACATCAGAAGAAAGATGACAGAAAAGGGTTGGTCACGAAAGAAGTTTTGGAATGGTGGAAATATTCCAAATCTTGTGTCAGGTAGTGGAGGTAAACATTTAAAAATATAATCACCTGATTATGAATTTGATTTTTGGTTGCAAATTTTACTTCTGCTAAATGAGAAATATTTCACACTTTAGAAAATTTTAACTAGGGAAAATATTGTAAAAAACTATAACTAATAAGCATTAAGTATAGCTTAAGATGTTTTCAATTTAAAGAAAAAAAGACTGATTTATTAATTTTTGAAATGCTTCCCAAACAATTAAGAAATATAATAATTATAGTTCAATTTGGGAGAAATAACTGATGACAAACCACAGCTATTTAACTAATTGTGGTTTTTATAAGACAGAGACTTGGAAAATGAAACAGGATGAGTTTTTTGGCTTGGTTTTTTGTTTTGTTTTGTTTTTTAAAGTAGAAGTCAAAAAAGACCAAAAAAAAAAAAATCCAAAATAAAGAAGTAGTAGCATGCATTGTAAAGAGAAAATATAAAGAAGATTCACATCCTTCCATGCTAACTCAAACTGGTAGAAGCTATCCTGAATGCTATGAAACTAAGAATTCTTGGCTTATGTTATAGTTCAACAAGAAAATGGGCTGTGACTTAAGGAAGGACTCAGGAGGTCTGCCTGGTAGTTTCCATTCCCCGCTTTAGGGAGAACAGGTATAATTTAGCAACTGAAATGCATTGCCTAAAATTAAAAAAAATAAGGCAGAATGTAGTAACTTATGAGTCAACTGTGAAAGAAATTATTATAAAATTTTAGGTATTCTAAAGAATCATTTGATATTAAAAAAATTCAGACTCCACAGCTAAGTGGAAGTGAATTAAAGCAAGTAACCATCACGTTCAATTCACTGAAAATGACACCTGGTGGCAGCACCACTAAACTGCAAGGAGAAAAGAACTAGAGCAAAAAACAAAATCACTTAAATGTTAAAAATGTAAACCTACAATCACAAGGTGATACGTAGGTATGCTGTATCCATATCATATATGTATACATTATATTCACTCAATATTAGGACAAAACTAGATGGCAAGAAATACAGTAATTTGCCGACACCTAAAAGTGTAAAGATGGAAAACTTACTACATTACACTGATATAATTTGGGTATCTGGAAAAGGTACTCAAGACAGAAGAAAATTAATTCCTACTGACTGGATCAATGAGTTAAGAATCTGAAATCTATAAAAAGACCCTCTAAGTCAGTTCATACCCAAAAGGGGAAAAAAATCAAACTGCTTAAGCTCAAAATTATCTTCTCACGTTTCACCAAGTGAACATTTAAAAAAAAAAATCGTTTACTATAATAAAGACTTTACAGCAGCAATGTTATTAACTGACTTCACCATGTGTCCAAGATGAGAGAAACAAAGGTCAAACTTACTGATTCTGTTACTGAAACAAAACATGATGATGTGATCAGCGGTCTCCAAACACAGGCATATCATTTCTTTTGAAATGAAGCCATAGAGAACACTGACCAATAAAAAAACAGTGGTCCATTAGGTCATAATGTATTCAATTGTTGGACAAATTTACCTACTTATCAATGAAATTGTTAACTATAACACTGATTTCAAGCAAATTCAAAAAGAGGTATATAAAATGACAGTTCTGGTGAGGAAATGATGAAAAGGGAAAGGGGAAAAGAGAGGAAAGAAAGGGAAAAAAGAACAGAAACAGGGAGGTAGGAAGATGGCTCACAAAAAAGCTATATCCCCATTTTACCCGTTTTCCATCTTTGGTCTTCTTTAAGTTCCAAGTGCCATCTGGCAACTTCTCAAAGAACTTTCTTGCTTTTGGTGCTTGGTCAAGAATATGAGCAGGTGGAATACCCAGGACTTCTACTATTTTATTCATCTGATCTACCTGTATTAAAAACAAAAAATAAAACCCATCATTTCTACTGTACACACTACTTCTTGTCATCAGTTAATTCATAAATAAATAAGACAAGCATCTCTTTTAGGCATTCAGCATATAGTAGTTACCAAAAGACATAAAGTCCTTGCCCTTCTGAGGTCAAACACTCCACTGAACGTAAGATAATTAGGAAACACCCAAATCTACAATGGACAAGATAGGTTTTGGGTTACTGAGTGCTTAAACTTGCAGGCTTAATAAAATGTGGACCTAACAAAGTGCAGGACTCACTTACTCAAATACTGGGTGCTGACTATAACATTGGTGACAATGCTTAGTAAGAGAATATAAAACAAAACAAACAAAAATCTCTGAATAAAGAGTGTACATTTCAGTGGGGAGAGACTGAGGATAAACAAATACAGTCACCCCTCAGTATCCTCAAGGAATTGGTTCCAGACAGAACAGCACCCCCCAATACTAAAGCCCATGGATGCCCAAATCCTGGATGTGAAATAACAGAACACTGGCATGTAACTTACGCACATCCTCTCATATACTTTAAATCCTTTCTTGATTTCTCATTACTGCTAACACGATATAAATGCTATGAAAATGTTATTCTGTATTGTTTAGGGAATCAATACAGATGCAATTTTTTCCCCAAACACTTTTGACCTACAGTTAGTTGAATCCGAAGATGCAGGTATGGAGGAACCCCAGTAATTAAATACATTCTATCAGATGATGACTAAGGGGTATGGAGGAAATTAAAAAGGGATGGGAAGAGAGGATACAGCAACTTTGAATATGGTGTTTATAAAAGGAGGTGATAATATAGCACCGACCGACTTACAATCACTGAGGAAGGAACAAAATGCAAAGGGCCTGGTATGGGTCCAGGTGCTGGTCAGAGAGGAAAGGAAAAGAGGTGTTGCAGATTATCGTCAGCATCAGAGGGAGCAGGGGTATGTGAATTACTCAAAGGATTTTGGCTTTGGCGATGAGAGAGATGGGAAGCCACTAAGGTTTCAGGTGATTCTAATAGTGTTCTTAGCCCAAGAAAGTAATTAGTTCACAAGGTAATATTACTTAAAATCAAACAAAAACAAATACTATGGCAGCTGCTACCAAGCTCACTATATAAAGCTGAAATAAAGGATGGAGGCTGGGTGTGGTGGAAGAACCTACATTCCCAGTCACTTGAGGAGATGAAGTGGGAGAATCACTTGAGCCCAGAGTTTGAGATTAGCTTGGGCAACATAGAGACCTCGTCTCACCTAATACCTGTTGGCAACAGGTATTACAATAGGCATCCACAAGTGGATTAGTTTTCAATTCCTCTGCAGGGGAGCTTAGTCTCTCCCTGGTCCTTCCAGTCACTGCTTCTGACCTCCAGAAGTCTCTTAGGAACACAGAATGAAAAGCTATGAGCTGCAGACTAGCATATTCTTTATATCTCTAAAGCTCTACAATTCTAGCTTCTCCTAAATTATTCAGACTGTGTATCAGTCCTATTAGTCATTACTCTTTAATTCCAAATCATAGTCTAAAATTTACAGCTGTTTGCATCATTTTTTGGGTGGTCCTCAGTCCTCCTTTGTCACATATTTAAGTTTTGTTATTATACTTAAAACCCATAAAATTTACACAAATATTTAACACTTGCTAGTTTACTGTTTTTCATTAGCAGATTCAAGTATCTCAACTACCATCTCACAATTCTAAACTCACCATGCATGACAACTGACAAACAGGAAAAAATGGAGAGCAAAAAGTTAAGTTCAAAATGACCTCACGTTTGAATGACTAAGCTTAGTACACAGATATTATCCCCTGAAAACAACTCTCAGATTACAATGTCAAGAATGAGAACAGAAGAACAACTGCAAAAGCAATATACCTCATTGGCACCACTGAACAGAGGTTCTCCAGTATGCATTTCAACCAAAATACACCCGAGGGACCACATGTCAATAGCAAGGTCATAAGGCATTCCCAGTAGCACCTCTGGAGACCGGTAAAAGCGACTCTGAATATACTGGTATATCTGAAACAAATTTTAAAATACCATTAATTCAATGTAAGTCTTGTTTATAATTGTGGTCAACACTGGATTAAGAACACTGATCTCACATTAACAGAAAATGTCAATATTAGACTATGAATACTGATTAAAGAACTAACCATTCCAAGGGAATGGTTGATCTGAATATGAAAAGAAAAACAGGTAAAAATTCAGGTTCTTTCATGTAGTCTAATCCCAATTAGTAATCAAGATAAATCTTAAAAGCAAGAAAACACACCTGGGCTGGGCTAGGCTGGGGCTGACTGTGCACTTTCCTAACATGATGAGGCCCTGGCTTCAAAACCCAGCATCATACAAGAGGAAAAAAATGAAGGTGAATACACAAAATACGTTACAGAGTGACTTATTCCCACCTTAGTACTTCCTTCCTGCTATGACTGGCACTTGCTTTAACACTAACAGCTAAACTGTACTTAAATTAACCGAAACCTAAAGAATGTATTTCAGCATTAAAAGTCAAATAATCTCAAGTATAATGAAATTATTTGCACTCTACTGACTCTTGGATAAATCTTAGAAATGTTATTATGTAAAAATTCAACTGGGAATGGCTTCTAATCAATCACATCTTCTCTATCCTCTCCTCTTGATCTTGACCCAAAACTTCTTAGAGAAAGAAAATCTTGAAATGAACTATCTTGAATGAAATAATATAAGAATTAATTGACAATTCAATTCACTTAGTTACTGCAAAAATCTCTATCTAGAACTATTAAAAGCAAAACACATTTATTAAGAAAAAGAAACAAAATCCTCCTAACTTTCTAGGTTAACAACATGTAGAAACGAAAGCTCATGAAATCTCCTTGGGACTCCCACTTTAAATTACAACCAAGTCTACAAGAACAATCTCAGGCCACCTTAGTCAGGCCAATCCAAACATGAGCCATGAAGAGAAAAACATTAGTTCAAAAGGACTGAGAAGTATATAGGTTGAGCATTCTAGTCAAAAAAAAAAAAAAAAATCCTAAATCCAGAGTGCTCCAAAATTCAAACATGGCACTCCAGATTTTAGAGCATTTCAGATTTTAGATTTGGGATTAGAGACACTCAACTGGCAAAGTATATGGTAATATTCCATAATCCAAAAAAATCTAAAACCTGAAACACTTCTGGTCCCAAACATTTCAGATATGGGATACTCAATTTGTACTGCATTTCTAAGTTTCCATAAGCCTAGACATTGTTGACCACCTCCTCCCCACCCATGCCCAAAAGACTGCTGAGGCTGTCTCATTTCAATTTATGCAAAAAGTCTGTGACCTATCTATCCAGTTTGGGTAAGACAATGATTCTGTCATCAACAAGGTTCTCCACCCAAATCCTTGTAACTTTTTCCCTGAAACACACTTGTCCTCCCATCTTCTGATTTTGAACTAAAATATCCAGGAGGCCAGGTGTGGTGGCTCACACCTGTAATCCTCAGTATCGTGAAGCAAAGATCAGCAGGATCACAGTTTGAGGCCAGCCCAGGCAAAAAGTTCAAGAGATCCCAGTGCAATCAATAAAACCTGGGCATGGTGGTGTGTGCCTGTCACCTCAGCTACTTGGGAAGCATAAATAGGAGGATCATGGTCTAGCACAGCCTGAGTATAAATGGGAAACTATTAAAAAAAAGAGCTAAAGCAAAAAAGGCTGAAGGTGTGGCTCAAGTGGTAGAGTGCCCACCTAACAAGCACAAGGCCCTGAGTTCAATGCCCAGTATTGTCAAAAGAAAAGAGAAAGAGGAAGAGAGGCAAATAGAGACACACACACCAGAAACAGGGCTTTTTTTGTGAAATCGCAGGATTGAGGTGTGTTTCAAGTAGTAGAGTGCTTGTCTAGCACTGATGAGGCCCTGAATTAAAACCCCAGAAATACATCCCCCACCCCACTCTGAAAAGAAAGTACTTTAAAAGACCTAAGGACAGGGCCACCATGTGTATATTTTGGAAATAATCTCCTATGTAATACTGATGCGCACAAATAATTTACACAATATAAACTTACTGAGTTAAAGAAATAGTTATACAGAGTTAGTCAGACAGAGATAACAGTGTTTGATATTAGAACAAAACATAAGGTTTGGTTTAAATAGGATGGGAAATTTCCAAGTATAAAAATCTATTGAAGTTGCTTAAAATGGACATGTATTTTCCACTTTCAATATACTTTATTCCATATTGACTGCGAGCATTTCTTGATTTTTCAGAGACATTTGACAATGCATACTTTGATTCCCATTCCGATTTTTAAAAAAATTATTCCCATAAACTATAGCTTTGCTATTGCAAGATTAATTTGCAGAAAATAACAAAAAGGAAATCCTACTAACTGGTTATAAAACTTCATGATTAAATTTACTTTTTGGCAGAACTGCGGTTTGAACTCAGGGCCTCACGCTTGCTAGGCAGGTGCTCTTATCATCTGAGCCATTCCGCAAGCCTTATTGATTAAATTAACTAGCTATATTTAAAACCTAGTCAAAAGTTGGACAGGAAATCTCACTGACTTGGTACAAAGAATGGAAAATCTATTATGAAACAGTAATGTCTGATTTTCACATTTTTTTTAAAAAAAAGTACAGTTCCAGTATTTTCATGCCAGTATTAAAATTGATAAAATATTAAGTTTGATCTTAATTCCTTTCAAGGGGAATGTCTGTAACTTTTATTTTATATGCAAAATGCACTATTAAGAATAGTTTACATAAACACTAGAAAGAATGGCAGGAAAAAACTGCTTTTCTAAATCAGCAATGTATTCGTCACTAGGACAAGTATGAGTAAAATCAGCTTGAATCTGTGTCAGAATTTATATAAATACTAATTTAGTAGAGGGGAGGATAAGAGAACTCTATCAAAACAAGTATTTCCATCAATTGTATCTTTTTTTTTTTTTTTGTGGACTTGGGTTTGAACTGAGGCCTTTGAGCTCCCAAAGCAGATACTAGAGCCAAACCTCCAGTCCATTTTGCTTTGATCATTTGAGATGATCCAAACTGTTTGCCCAGGCTGGCCTTGAACCATGATAGTCCCAAGAAGCTAGGATTACATCATAAGCCATGGCGCCTAGCCAATTGTGTAATTTGTGGTCTATAGTACCACGACCAATGCAAAAATCACAGCATTTGCTTTTACTCATTAGTTTCTGAGGAAAAACATTTATATTGGGGTGGCTTTAAGAACTATTCCATAGCAACAACTGAAGCTCTAGTGTTGGAACTCTCCAAATTTTATACTAGAACCTCTTATTTGGGAAATATAAATCACTTACTATCTAAGTTATCTCTTATTTTCCCTTAATCTTTTAGTATACATAAAATTTTTAAATTTAAATATATCCATTTGAAAAAATAATAATCTCCTGACGCAAAGTATTGCTACTCATATTTTCAGGACAAGGTGACCTCAAGTGCTAGATTTTAAGCAATAACTGCCTCCAAACTGTAAGCACATTATCAGTAGTACTTCAAATACCTGCCTAATTCTGTTTCAATCCACGAGTCCTAAAACAATACTTACCCTTTGCCCCAACTGACAAGAACTGCCAAAGTCAACGATCTTGATTGCACTGCGTTTGGGGTTGCACAGCAGGATGTTCTCAGGTTTTAGGTCACAGTGAATGATGCTAAGCTCTGGGGTTGCCAGGAAAAGCAGTGCAGTGCACATCTGCTGTGCAAACTTTCGTGTCAGGTTCAAAGAGACCCCTCGAAAATTGGTGTTCCTCAACAAGTCATAGAGGTTGTAGGACAGCATTTCAAAAACTAAACAGAGATGGTTTCGAAACATAAAGTGGCGTTTCAAATGCACTGGAAGAGAAAAAGTTGCATTTAAATTGTACATACTACTAGGATGAGAAAAACACACACATGTACTCTAAAACAGTCTCAAATACAGTATCAAATACAGAATGAAAACAAAGCAGAGGTTTGGAAATCAGCTTTCTGCAGTAACAGCACATTTTTTAATTACCTAAGCATATGTAAACCACTGTTCTGCTGAGTTAAACTAAGGTGTGATCTCTGTAACAAATGATATACAGATAAGAAGTACCAAAATGCCTTGTTTGCTCTGCCTTACAACTTCCATCCGATGGGATCTCTGATTTGTAACAATGCAGCCCTCTCTGTGTTGGCTTGATAAATTAACATATAATCTGTGTTTATTAGTAATTTTCTGTAACAGTTCACTAGAAGTTTTATGACAACTGTCAAAGAACAACATAGTTTTTGTGGTGGTTTTAAGGCAAATTCGGCAAGTGCTTGAAAAATCACAGACTGCAAGCTACTAGGATTTCATGATTGATACAAGGGAAATCCTATGCAAGACTTCGTTTGGGAAAACTATAAAATACAATTCAATCACAAAAAGAAATGATGAATAAGCCTAAGAATGGGGAAATGATACAGAATATGACTTGCAACCACTGCTGACTCTCTAAACAGATTAATACACACTAAAACTCTTCAAAGATTATGCTTAAGTATAAACACTGACTTCGCATCAGATGAGGTCATTCAATATATTAAAGTGCTGCCCTTCAGTATAAATATTCTTACAAATACCAGACTCGGCATCTGTAACTCAAATTGCCTTTTACTATCACAAAAACAAGTTTCTCTACAGATCTATCTGGATTAACTATGACAATATCTGGTCCCTAAGAAGTACACATGTATTCTGTCTTCCTGATAGCAGTCCTGGACTGCCTGCCTTTAAGCAGTACGTAGCAATACTGTTTTGAGATCACTCATGATACAGGTGATTTACAGTTGGGATACATACCACAATGAAAATTCTACATGGCTTACACTGGAGTTTAAAGCACTAATTGACACTGCAAATAATAAAAAGAACCCTTAAAGGTTACCTAAGGGAATGTACAGTATCTGCTCTTAGGCACTCCAGCTCATAGGTTTAAAACTAAAAACAGCTCCATGACACCTCACAGACATGGTCCATGCATGGGTTTTAATCTCCTGGTTAAGTAGTAGCCACAAAAGGAATGCAAAAGATAGTTCATGTCAGAATTCCAAAGTGACTATGAAAATCCCTTTACAAAGCTCTGTGATTAGACTGTCCTCCCAATGAAAGATCTACTTCCTTGCACCTGACCTCATGATTCACTACTCATCTACTAAGTACCTACACTGTGCTGGGCAGACAGGCATATTTGTTCAGTTTTCTTAACAGGAATTGGGGGAAAACAGAGTTGGTAAGACTTTGTTCTAGACCTTAACTGAATTTCCTTTTAACCAGACCATGGCAGGTATACCAAATAACCTAGATAAGAAATTATTCAATAAAAGAGAGAAGGGGAGAGAATAATGGGGAAAGGTTCAGCAATAAATACTGACTTACAGTTAGAAGTTCTAATGTTCTTTGCACAGCACAGTGACTAGAATAATAATGCAATGTATATTTCAAGTAAACTAGAACAAAATAATTTTGAAGGTTTTTACCACAAATAATGGTAAATGTCTGAGGAAATGGTGTATTTATGCTATTTGAAGTTTACACAGTGCACACATGTATCAAAGTGTCACATGGTACCCCACAAATATGCACAACTTTAAACATGCGCCAATTTAAAATTCATCAGTAAAAGAAATGCCACATGGTAGAAACTTTTCAGTGCTGAAAGACTTAAGACTTCATCAGAATAAACTCTATTTGTCAATCACCTTAGTAAAACTGCATCATAAAAAAGGGATGATTTTCAGACACCTTAAATTTAAGATATCAGGTTGATTAACATGGCTATGTCTGACCTAAAGATCTTTCTGTGTTGTTTCCCAAAACAGAAACTCAGGTTTGGTTTTGTTTTTCTGAGACACTACGCTTCGTCGTCATCTTAAATAAGAATTTAGAAAAACTCAAAATACAACCCACAAGAGTAAGTAAGAAGGGGTGAGGCCTGTTCAGAGACCACTTTAGAAATCAAGCATCCTTACAATGTGCCTTGAGTGGAAGTGGGCTCACTTAAGTTAAATTATAACCGACAATGAACAGCAAAGTTTTAGTATGCATGATGAGAAAAAGTTTTAAGACACAAACATGGTTATGGACTATACCAAGTATCTACAGAGAAGAAACTAAGAAGAAAGAATCACTAGCACGAGCTCATTTTTCTTGTAACAAAACGGATTAAGGGGTATTTCATATATGAAGGATCTGAATTATCTGAAACTGTTACCATTAACCATTCAGTATTTACATCTACCATTCTGGGGAAACTAAACCATAATGTACTCACAAGCCTTTTTCAAATGGTACTCATTCTGAATAGAGTTTTATTTAAGGCCCTGAATTTTCCACTTGCAATATGGTGCTTATAGTGCAATGCTATTTCCTTTCCCTGTGCATGTTTCATATTCAAGCACTGAGAATGCCCAGTAATTTATTATAGCAGACAAACCTTCAAACTACCACAGAATTTACTAGAAATTTGGGTCTTTCAATATTTACTGTGGGAACGAGGCAATTTTCTAAAAAATGGTGCCAACTTAAAATATAGTTTTATTTAAGCCATTGCATTTTGCCAGGTATGGTGGTACATGCCAGTAATCCCAGCTACTGAGGAGGCAGAGATAGGAAGACTGTGGTTCAAGGCCAGCCTAGCAAAAGATATCAAGACCCTATCTCAAAAACAATCTGGGCATGGTGGTACACACCTATAGTCCCAGCTACTCAGGAAGCAGAGGTAGGAGGATCATAGTGTGATGCCAGCCCAGGCAAAAACTGAATGAGTCTATCTAAAAAGCAAATTAAAAGCAAACAGACTGAAGGTATGGCTCAAGTAGTAGAGTACTTGCCTAGCAAGTGCGCCCTGAGTTCAATCCCTAGTACCTCTCAAAAAGTGGGGAGGGATTGCATTTTCACTCCCCTGCCTTTTTATAAAGGAGTTTTGGGTTTTTTTTAATTAACCATACTTATCTGGTATTATCAACACATATCTAAACCTGTGTCACTCTGTATCTGTGCCTACATTAACTTTGTAATTTATTGTTCCTGAGGCCATATGTTAAAATTGATGGCATCTTCTATGTATACTTGGCAGCAATTTTTCTCTTTCTGGTGCACAAAATAATGATGCCTTACAATCATTAGAATCTTAGATCATTAAAAATATTATAAAAGAAGATAGACTCAGAAGACGTTTTGCTCATGTATTAATACCTAGACTTCAGTATTTTCACAGTTCTTAGGTCTTCTATTTTGGTTTTCAGAAGGAAGACGGTGTGACAATAAAACAATACAGGTTTTGAAGTTGGGCAGAAGTAGGTTCCCATTCTAACCGACAGCCCTGTGACCTAGAGGATTTACGCCTTATACAAACCATCTATAATTTAAGGATTTTAACCATCTTCCTTGTAGGGCTGCCTTGGTTATTATAGATGATGGAAGAAAAGCACAGGAGTGGTAGGAGTTCTGTATGTAGCAGTTTTCTGCTATAGTAAACCTAACACAGCTTTTAACACTGCCAAACTGACAGTCTGGGGAGAAGGGTGAGATTTTTGTTCAGACACTCCAAAAGTAGTTTTACAACCACTTACCACACACAAGCTTACGTCTACTGCATTCGCTAGATTAGAAATTGTTAAAGTTACCAGAAGAACAACTCTGGACAAACATCTAACATTAAAGCAAACCAAGAGCACTAGCAAGATGCAATTTGGAAAAAGCATTACTCTCATTGGTTTCTACATTGTACATTCTCTGGAGTGCACTGTTCCCACAGATTTCAAATCATGTATCATAAATCGAAGTTCTTCAAAGAAATAAACAAATTCTTAACCAATCACTTTACCAAAAAAATCTATTTTGATTTAAAATAACCATTAATTCAAATTCCTGGTCTGGGCTGGCCATGCTGCACTGTCTGGCTTTTGCTTACCTATGTAGTATTTCATCTCAGTGTCATGTTTGTTCATGAGCTCAAGGAGTCGCACTTCTATCTGGGCTTGATTCAGAAAAGCTTTCTTGTTCTTTATTATTTTAATGGCAACCCATTCTTGCTCCACCCGATCATATGCCTTTACAACCTGAAAAAGAAGAAAGGTAAGTAATTCTCTATGTTATTATTAATGGCAGCAATTTCACATTTCTCCCCCATTGTACATCTACTTAATTCTCATTTAACTCTACATTTTCCTGACCTTCCTAAGTAGAAAAGATCTTATCTGTTTCTATTCAACATACCATCCATTTTACTATAGAGTAACTTTAAGTTCATCTTTCAAACTGATTGCCCCCACCATCACAGCCCCCAGTATTGGGACCTTGACCTTGCCAGCACTCTACCACTTAAGTCACACCACCAGCCCCTTTTGCTTTAGTTATTCTCATGCCTTTTGCCCAGGCTGGCCTTGAACTGCAATCTTCCTACCTATCCCTCCCACACAGACATGCACTGCACCAACATGGCTGGCTTGTTTATTGAGATGGGGGTCTCATTAACTTTTTGTCAGGCTGGTCTCAAACTGCAATCTTCCCTATCTATGCCTCTCAAATAGCTGGGATTACCAGAGTAAACCACTGAGTCTGATCTTAATTTCTTTTGGTGGTACCTGGGTCTCACTGAACTCAAACTGGGACTATGATCCTCCTATTTAGGCTTCCTGTGCGTGTTACAATGCCCAGCTTTTTATTAGATGAGATGGGGGTCTCACAAACTTTTTGCCTAAGCTGGCAAAAAGATCCCCCTGGATCTACGCCTCCCTAGGATTACAGGTATGAACCACCAAACCCAGTTTACAATTCCTTTTGTATGCTCCTTACAAATACCTTCTAAATTCCCACAAAATGGATGTTTTGGATTGTTTTTAAACACAATTAGAACAACTGTTTCTATCCTTCAGAAATAAAATCAGGTACCTTGACAAGAACTTTGAGAATTTTAAAAACTGTTTATTTAAAAAAGAAAAACAATTCTTTTCTTGCTAATAAAACAACTCACCCAACTATTCTTTTAATGAGAAAAACTTGGTTTAAATCCCAAAAACACACATAAAATATTTAAAAGATTCTAAGGTATCTCAGAAAGCACATAACTTTCCGTTTTTAAATAAAACATAAAACATCAGTATAAAAGAGTAATTTATACTAAAAAACACAAATTACCAAGAAAGTTCCACAATATGTTAAATGCCATAATGAAAAGACTGAGTGTGAGTTTGAAAACTCTCTACTAATCAGAGACAATCATTATACCTAGTTAAATGAAAATTACATTTGTAGTACTGTACACACACAGAGGAATAAAATAGTTTTGTGATACATTTTCTAACACAATCAGAAAGGTTGGAAATGGGGTAAAACTTCAAATAATTCCAATGTGAAGGATGGGGAAACCACTGAAGTAGAGAAAGAAGATAAATGTAGGTTCCAAGATCTAAATCAGTCAAGGATAAATATATTATAAACAATAAATTATAAAGGGTTCAACTAAAAGTCAAGTTTGAAATGAAAACTGCAGTTGTCTTTGGCTATGCTCAGTTCTAAAAGGCATTTACTTATCTGCTGTCTTTGGCATCAGAAGTGACCCTTGTGAACAGGTGGCCTTGGTATTCTTCTGCTTCACAGGCAACAGTGATTACAGCAACAGCAGCCAGTCTGCTGCCCAGATCCCAGTAGTCTGACCAACAAAGGCCACTCACAGTGACCTAAGTACTTACAAGTAGCTGGTTAAATGTTACTGCACAGGTTTTCAACTCGAACTATACATTCGGTGGGGAGGAGTTAGGAAATATCAATGCCTAAAATCCAGCCAGAGAGAGTCTGACTTAACTGGTATGGAGCCCAGGCATCAATCTGTGTTTCAAAGCTCTCCGGGAAATTTCAATGTGCAATGAGGACCGATAACCACTGGCTAAAGAAATGGAAAAACCCCTTATTTGACAAGGACCTGGCAGAAATTTCAGGGAATGTTTGGTCAAGTCAATATGGAAGACAGCACTGTGATGAGTGATTGGTCCTAAACATAATTGTGGACACTACACATCACAGCCAGGGAGGGAAGCAGAAACTACCTAGTGAAAAGTAGTTAAAGGTCAAATACACCTGTATTTTCACAGAGTTACTATGTTCCTGGGCTCTGAGGAACACCACCATAAGAAAATTAAGGTGTAGAGTTGGAAGAAAACATATGACCTTAAAGACTGAATGCTCAGGTACAACTAAGCTTAGCAAGTAGGCTACATGGCCATCATTTTCACAGTAAATGTAAAAATAGCTAGGAAAACAACTGCTAAATATTGGTGCACTTTTTAAGGTACAGATAGTAATGCTTACATCTACGGGGTGTTGACAGTCCTGGTTAAGAACCAGGCCTCAGAAATGCCTTCCTTAAGGGGCTCTAATAAAGAAGCACAAGCTGCTTCTGACAGAACAGGACTACCTTCATAAAGAATACTGCCAAAACACTGAGAAAGCCTTGGGTTAGTACAAAAAGAGGTTATAAAGCAAGGGCAAGTTCCTTCATATCATGGAAAGAAACAGACACATCATATATGTATCATCAAAACCTGGTAGAGCCACACTAGAGTAACAGACCTTTGAACATGCTTGTTCATACTTGCTTATATGTTTAATAGCTTAACTTTACTTTTAGTCCTGTGGCTGCTAATGGCCTAGTATGTTTCTGATGTAAGTTCAATTGAATTTGATACATGATGAATTCTTCCTCACTGGTTGAAAGAGGGCATAAATTTTGCTTTCTCTCAGGGTAGGAACAGAAAAGTAAATAAACACTGACTTCATAGTTTAAAACACACACACACACACACAAAGGCAATGAGAAAAATTCATTTTGACCTCCATTATGTTTTCCTCACTGCAAAGTCAAAAGAAGTACATAAATACCTAATTCACTGCACAATGACTATAAGGCAGAGGAGGCTGGGATTAATAGTAAGTCATACCTCAAACAAAAACAAGTTTAGTGACTCAATGAAATGAGAGAAGGATGGAGTGGGAACAGCTAAGAAAACACAGGTAGAAAAAGGTTTTTCAAGACCATGAGGAGGGTTTCACACCTATAATCTCAGCACTCAGAAGGGTGAGGCAGAAAGTCAGTTTGAGGCCAGCATGGGCTACATAGCAGGACTCGGACTCAAACATACATATACACATATATACATGAAGATGTGAGAAAAGGGAATGAGCACTCTTGGGTCTGGGTGCAACTGATCTAAGAGACTCACACTTTCAGGTTTTTGTGCTAATGAGCCTGGGTGTTCAGGTGAGGGAGAGTTTGGGTGGAAAAAAAAAAGCCAAGAATGAAGAAGGGGAAAAAAACCTTAAAATCCCAGGTCTATCTCTAAGCTCTGAGGACTTAAGAAGACATCATGAAGCCTGTCTACCTTGATAAAGTTAGACGATGAGGGGGGAGAAAAACCCAGGGCACAGCCCCAAGCATCCAGAAGATGAGAGGCCATCCACCGTGCCACCTGAAAATAATTCTTTTCTCCCTGAAGAGGTTGGATCAGTTACATACATAACGAATAAACGGTCATCCATTGACCACACAAAGCCCAGATAAGAGAGTTAATATTGGCTATCAGTGATTAAAATTAACTTGCTAGTCATTAGTGAAATGTAAATAGTATTAGCACCCAAAGAAAGGAACGTTAACAAAAAAAAAATCTACTGGCGTTTTTACTTAATGCAATTTTACTGAATCAATTTTTGGAAAATTATAATCATTTAAAAATACTTATATATCCATTGTTTACATCTAGTTACAAATATTAAAAGTGTGCTAAGGGAAGGATGTGACAACATGATTACAAAGTTCTTTTGATGAAATTCAGTATTTTCCATAAAATTACCTGTCCAAAGGAACCTTTGCCTATCAAGGAGTCAATTTCGTAACGATCCATCCACTTTTCTCCGTTTTTTACAATATAGTCATAGTTATCATCATCATAACCATCATTGTAAACCTTCCTCTCCTTCTTATGACTAGAATCGTCTCCCTGGCCTTGTTGGTGTCTTCGCTTCTTTTTTGCATAGTAAACCTGAAATGAGAATACAGTGTTAACTGTATAATTTAAATCACTATTGGGATGGGGCACGTGTGTCCAAAGTGCAAGAGACAAAGCTACCAGGAAGAAATTAATGAATTTTTATAACAATATAAAAAAATGAAATAAAGGATTTTCTGCAGTCGACATTTAGACTAGAAAATAATCCTAACGTAACCAAGAGAAAGTGTCTATAGTGAATTTCACTGCATAGTTCTTCTATAGATACATTTTATGAACAGGTGATAGGAAGTGGTACAAAGTATCCCATTCAAGAAGAGTAAAAGGGCGCCAGTTACAGTAACTTATTAAAGTACAATTTATACACAAAGAGAAAGTACAGATCTTAGGAGTACAATATGAGGAATATGGACAAATATATACACTGACATAATCAATAAATGCCAAAGAAAATAAGTAACATTTTCATTCTCTTCAGGTTCAAGTTTACTCAAGTTCCTTTTTCTGGTTAATGTCAACTTTTCATCTGATCTTGCAATAAAAGATTTTAAAAATGAAAATTTAAATGCAGATGAACTGATGATTTACTAAAATCACCCAGTTTTTCAGTCTATAAGAAAGCCCACCCAGGGACACACCCACTGAGGCCACCTACTCCTTCCAGTTAATCACAAACTGAGTTATTTCCCCCAATCTGTTTTCATATAACATAGTTTCAAAAGCTAGTGAAAAATAAGGTGAATTAGGCAACAGTCCAAATAATTAGTGACTAGTCTTGAGGAAATTATAAGTTATATTCTATAGAATAATGTCAGAAAAAGTCTGTTTATAAGGCAGCATGACATTTGCAAAGAAGCTTCCACAAAGCCACAATTAACAGTTTAAAGTTTTGTTAATAATAATAATGAGTCATCATATGTTAACAAATTGAAATTAATACTGTTAGAATTTTCAGATAATTACAAGTTACTCAGGTACACTGTTTATAATACATAAATGTATACAAAATCTAATTCAGAAATGTTCCTGAATTAATTCTAACTTTATCTTGACACACTGCAACAGTAATGTATTGTACTGGCATTAAACAGCAAAAAAACTGCTATGAAATCCACATCTTTTTAATTAAGTCGCTCTAAAGCTAGCAGTATACTAAGCCTTTAACATGAGGACACAGGGCTCCCATTGGAAGAGAGTGACAGTATGGGTTTTTCTACTCTTCTCTAGAAAAAGTTCACCCAATTATTAATTACAGAACTACAAGTGAGGGCTGAAGCAAATGACAAGCCAAAAAAGGTCCAATGCACCAGAAAAAAAATTTAGTAGCAAAAAGCCAATGATAAGGCATAGTATTAGCTATGTGTTTTTTTTAATCCTACTTTAATCAAATGAGCTTTTGGATGTATTACCATGGAAAGATAAAAGAACACACATAAAAACTTAAAAGACAACAGAAAGTTCAAATAAACTAGCCAAATGCCTGTAACTTGGTAAATACATTGCAGAGCTACCGAACATCAGGGCCGAAAGTAGAAACACACACATATACAAAATATAAGCAAAAGAAAACAAAAGACTAACATGCATACTTTTTATAGTAACTATTTCTCTTCTTTCTTATTTGGGGAAAGAGTTATTATAGAAATAATAACTTTGCATATTAAATACAACTTTGAAAATCAACTTTCTTGTTTACCGTACTTGTTGCTATATCTTTTCTGTAGTTGTAATTATATAATTATGCTATCCATAAATCACTGACATATTAGCTTTCATAGTAATGATAAATATGACAATCATCAGGAATAAAACACATTTAGCATATTTAAACAGGCACAAAAAACTTGTCCCTCTTGATATATTGCTATATATGCTGCTATAACAAATCAATAGTCTTACCTCATTAATATGCTTATATGTTTTGATCAAATCAACAGAAAGTTTTCTCAGGGGAGCAGTTGCTGGATCACGGAAGGTTTGGGGCATCCGCCTCTGTAACATGACAGTATCAGGCATCACATTAAACAGACAGAAAAGACTAGCATTTTAACTATACTGCAGTCATGTAATTCCCTCTTCTGTAACCTGAATGTCTGTTTGTTTTCTTAAAAAAGACATCTACATTAGTAGATTATACACTCTCTCAATCTTTCATCTGGATTCCAATGAAGACAACTTCTGGAATAAACAAATGAAACTGGTAGATAATATGATCAGCCACCCAAGATTTTGATCCTGTTCCTTAAAACCTAAAACTACAGACATATTCCTCATCTAAGACACACACATGATGCTACCTAAAAGGGTTTCTCTACCACATAATTAGCTCAACGAAAAATATCTTCTGAATCAATGCTAAAGCCAGGACACGCTTATCACAGGCGGGCAAAGACAAATCCAGCCCTCCAAGGCTACCTGCAGCTTCCTAAGGTAGCATTTCAAGACCCAGTTGACAACAAAATGGTGACAGCAGAGCCAATGCCTCTAACAACTGGGTGTACAACTGCCAACACCACCAGGCCTTGCCCTCTTACAAGCATCTGCACCAGAAGCAAGGATAAGAATTGCACTTTCATACCAATATTCCTGAACTGTTCCTCAAACACTACTTTCCAACTAAATATCATGCCTCAAAAAAGGGTTTCCCCTAGTGGGGTTTCTTGCAATCAACACACCATCAAAGCCAATTACATCAAGGTACCTACAGTAAGTAGAACTAGCCCATCTTTGTGTTGTTGCCTAGCTCTTAAGAGGTATTAATGCCAATTATGTTTACTGAACCAGAGGCCCTAAGAAAGACCTCAAGGGACACAGGTCAATCTGAGGGACAGAGCAACAGTGAACACATTATGCCACTACTTCACAACTACAAAACTGTCTGGCGTCTTGATGGTTAACCTAACCCACAGTAACAAAAAGAAGAGAGGGTTAAACTGCGGGCAGAACAGGAAACAATCATCATCTCTACAGTCTGAAAACATGGAGCAATTACACAATTTACCTAAGTGTACTTTCTAGTGAACCAATATTAATATTGGTTTCCTCTGCATGCATATTCAAATTCTAAGAATCTGTTATCCAGATGGCAAATTCACTGAGCTGCTGAATGAAGTTAACAACACCTCTTCTCAATGTCCTCTTCTTACAGTTCTGAATAAGGTATAAAGGGGGAAACCCCTTGGTGATTCTATTTGTCTGAAGAAATCTTCAAAATTAATAAAATCTGAAATATATTTTCCAAATAGTTTTCTTTTAAAGAATATAAGCAGTAGACAAACCTAAATTCACAGAATACTATTCCTTGGAGAATTTATTTTGAACCCTTAAGAGGGAGGGAGGATTACCACTGGTAAAGCTGTCTGAAGAGTGAAATAACAGTAACAGGTACTATTTACTAAACACTGCCTTGAACACACAACACTCATACAATCTTCTCAATAATTCTACAAGAGTAAATATTACTCCTGTCACCATTTGCAACGGAGAAACCTGGGATTCCCATGTAAAAAACTTGACCAAGGCCCTGGAGTGAATAAAGAATACAACTGGAACAGAACTGAGGCTCTTAACACTGACCCTAAGCCAGGCCTCTCTTCCACCCTGTCAGTTCATTTTTAGGTGATTTAGAGACAAACTGATTGTAGCATGCATAAAATAAGCATGTGCTTTTATTAAAATTAACTATGTAAAAAACTAGGGGTGTCTTAAGTTTTTAACTTTTCATTTACAACTTCACTGGCATTTCAAACACCTGAAAAAATAATCAGTGGCTATATCTAAAATTAATTATGCATGCTCAAAGCATCCAAATCAGACTCTTGAGTGTGTCTAGTACAATCCCAGCTTCTCAGGAGTCTGTTCTCACACCCATGACCCTCCATCTCAGTCTAGGCCACATTGAGAGAACTCGTCTCAAAAATAAATAAATAAATACATAAATAAAATAAAATTGTGTGGTATATACATGAAATAAACCACATGACTCTGAGCTACATAATCAGATTTCTGCACTCAATTTGAGTATGTGCTGTATGCTTGGCACTTCACAGTACATGGTGAATCTTTATCACAACTGGTCAAGCTACACTACAAAGACAAGTTGATTAGTTCATTCTTAGTACCTTATCTTCCTTATTACTTCTGGCAATAGAAATCACTATTCCAGAGACACATGAATACAGATGAATTCTGTCCACAAAATACCTGGCCTCAGACTGGAGGGTACATCAAGTGCTTCCTGAAAAGAGGTACTCAAAATCCATGGATAGAACAAATTAATATCTATAAAGTAACATCCCTTCACTTTTATTGTGATTTCATGCTAACCAAATTTTCTGTTTTGCAATTTTATGTGGCCATTATATTAAGTACAAACCCACAATTAGAAAATAACTTTTCTAGATATCACTAACAGATCTATGCTAAGGCTCAGGGCCAGCCTTAACCATCTGATGCCTGTACTACCTCCTGTTTCTTACAATCATAATGTCAAGAGAATGCAAACTAGTGCAGCAAGCTCCCACCTCCACAGCTTGAAAGTAAGGCTAAAGCCCTCAGAGGACCCAGGAGCCCAGTATGTTGTAGATGTTACCCTTTCACAGGGAGTAACCTGCAGAAAGCATAATGAAGAAGATGGCATCCTGTGCCTCAGTTATCTGTTTGTAGGAGCTAGAAACTCTGTGTCCCTAGTGCTCCCATCTATTGCTCTTTCTCCTCACCCAGAACTCAAAAAAGGAGTAGTGTACAATTCCTGCTTAGTTATAAAAACTAAAACAACCTTCAATGTTTTTCTCTGAAAAGATTCTATAGTGTAAGATTTAGACTTTATTCAGAAATACTTATTTCATTCATTGAACTTCTTTTTGTTGTGATACTGGGATTCCAACCCAAGGCTTCACACTTGCGGGGCAGGTGCTCTATCACTTGAGCCTTTCCTTCAGGCCCTTTTTATTTCTATTTACCTGACATTTTCATATATGATGAGGAACTGGAAACACTATATTCTGCCTTTTTGCTTTTATCAGAGCTATCAATAAAGCAACATAGTATATATCACACATATTCAGGGCACTGGTAGAAATAAGGACTATGAAAGATACCCCAAGAAGTAGAACAGAGACTCAGCCTTCCAATGCCAATCATACTTGTATTATATTTCCTGTTTCCTAAATTTATCTTTTCAACAAAATACTTTACACTTGTACCAAACACACTCATATAGGAAAAATTTATGACTAGAAATAAAATCTTAAAAGTTATTTCAATTCACAAGCTTCATTTATTGGCTGATTGATTCATTGCTTTTTTAAACAAGGTCTCAATGTAGCTCAAGCTGGCCAGGAATTTGTTACGTAGCCCAGAGTGGTCTCAAACTTGTGACCTTCCTGCCTCAGCCTCCTGAGTGCTAGAATTACAGCATTTACCGCCATGCCTGACTTCAATGAGCTTTTATTTATTTAAAACATACAGATAGGATGATTAACAAGAACCAATAGAAATCACATAATGAAATTTACAGAAGTTTATAGCTGTAAGGTACTTAAAGAGGGTCTAGTATATGGTCAAATTTATATTCAAGAACAGACATGACATGCAAAATGATCTGACTCAAATCCTACAAGCAGAACCTGAGCCAGGAGCTTGAGCCCATGTCATGTCATATGCCTGGCAGACCATTCACATCAGCACACTACTTTAGTTATAAGAAATGTATTTTCCAATAGCTGCTGTATTTAGGTTCAAAAATTTCTGTGCTTTGGCAGAAATATTTGATTATTATTACTTAAAAGGTGAGTTTTTTAAACTTCACAGGAAATTTTAAAAACATTTTACAGCTAAAATCAGAAATACTAGGTGCAATATCTTATTTTAAATGATCCAAAGACAAAAACAAGATGTTAGCTGAATATAAAAATAGGTACTTTGCTAATTAATTTACCTTCCAAAATGATATATAGAATATACATAGTCCATAAAATGACTTTTAAGGAATTTTTTCCAGCACTGTGTAGACTGCAGATGTTAGATGTTAAGTATGTATCTAAGAAGAAAGAAGCCTGTGCTGGACCCCAGAGTCCACTCCTTATACACCTAGAGAAGTCACAAATGGGAACTTGGTCTCTTCAGGTGGAAAGCTAACACATGCTTAATAGGGTGCTTTTGAACAACTGGGAAAATTAATCCATACATACTGTTCTTTTTGCAAAGTATAATGCAAATGGATCCAGCATGCCATTATTATTACTGGATGTCCATAGTTTTCTTCTGGTACACTCTAAACTTGAACATTCTGATAAACTGCTCCGATTCTCACACACAGACCTAAACTTCTGAATCAATTCACTGAACAAATTCTTAAGTCTTGCCCTAATTCTTACTATGAATGTTACTCACATGTTCTGTGTATTTTTTACTACTGGCAAAGGACATCTCCTCATAGTGATGATATTAATTATATCCATATATAACTATTTAGAGAAAAGACAATTCATGCAAATAATCCAGTACAAGAACTACTTATAAATTTTCCAACATTTTATCATTACTTGATATATTAAAAAACAAAATAAAACAATACCAAACTAAAATCCTAAATCCACAAAAGAGTAGACACATCCAAAACCAGTAGGAAAAGAAACTTTATCTCACAACTACCGCCGGTAAGAAAATTCTCCCCAAATTAATGTAGTGGGTGCAGCTAATTCAGGACGGCATTTAATGTGCACCTGTGTGAGATTATGAAGAACTTTCAGCATTTATTCTTTTTTACATCATCTATTTTGTGGAAAACTGCCGAGTGTCTAGTCTCAGTATGAGAAATAACAGCTTGGTTAAAGTACATATATTTTTTCATTTGTATTTTAAGGACTTTTGTTTTTATTTTTACAAATGTGTATTAAAGTAGCTTACAACATAAAATCAGTTCTGCAAGTTTCTGTAAGAGAATGTTTTCCAGTTAATATTTTTTAGCTTAACTATCTTTCCATAAGAATATTTTCTTTATGTTCCTTTATTTTAAATATTCTTTAGAAATAATTTTTTCTTCTCTATTCCAGAATAAGAGAGTTTGGCTATGCTTCTAAGTACCTTTCAACTATGTGAAATATACAATAGAAAGGAAAAAAAAAAAAATCAACAAACTTTAAAATATAAACTTCTTAGCATGTTTTGTTCATCTAGAATCCCAGGCAACAAATAAAGTTGAAAACCATTAATGTATTTAGTTTATTTACTATTCAACTCCTCCTCTACCCCATGGTCTCACTTAACCCACACCCCTAGCCCTTTTGTCTTTGTTTTTGAGACAAACTCTGGCTAACATTGCCTGGGCTGTCTTCAGGCCCCCATCCTCCTGCCTCTGCTTTCTGAATGGGTGGAATTAAAGGTGTGAACCACCACGCCCAGCTAATCTAACATTTTTTAAGGGCTATTATCATTTGAACACCATTTCTGATACTTCACAAACTTACCTGGTTGGTTAGAGGTTGCTGAATCTGGTCAGAATACGATAAGGCAGAAACCTGTTGGTCACTTATGTTTGGCTGGCGACGGTCACTGTACTGATGTGAATGGGGCATCTGTCCAGCCATCTGAAGGCCAGCAGCATGGAATGAAAATGACGGTGCAAGCCGAACAGATGATGGTTTGCATGCTGAAGTCTCTCCTCCTATGAAAAGATAAATAGTTTAATAAAGATAGTATTCATACCCTAATAATTGTATCACCTGAGGTGTCTAATAGTTCTTTAAATAATGAAATGTTTAGAACATTTAATAATATGAAAAACCTTTATTAACAACCAATAGGTATATGTCACTCAACATAATGGTTATATATTAAATGGTTTAAAATATAATAAACAACTATATACACATCTATGGAGAAAAAATTTTTTTAAAGTTTTTTATAAATAACTTACTTTCACATGAAATTTTCATCAGTTGAACCTAAGTTATAGTTTGAACTGAGGGAGGCTTTGCCAATATATCAGCTGTTCACAAACCAACTTAAAGGAAGTGTGTGCAATGCTGTTTTGCACTTACCAGGTATATGACAAGCAATATCCCTGGCATCCATAAACCATAATCTGTTCTACTGGTGCTTCCCATTGACACAGTAAAGAGCAGAACATACAAACAGGACAACAAATATACAAACATAGAACTTAACTCAAGGGACTAGATTCTTCCGAACCCTTCCAACAAGGTAACTTAGACCTGGCAAGCTCACCACAAAGGAAGAATAATCAGTTATCCCACAGGGAGGCTAGGACCATGATTATGGAATTTATTGTAGAAAAGGAAGATGAACACTTGTAGAAGTATTTACAGCTGACTAACAAAAGTAATTTTTCCTTTAAGAAGGAAAAAAAAAAAAAAGAGGCAGCCCAGGCACTGGTGACTCACATCTATAATCCTAACTACTCAAGAGGCAGAGATAGGAGGATCTTGATTCAAAACCAGCCCAGAGAATTAGTTTAAGAGACCCTATCTCATAAAAACCCATCACAAAAAAGGGCTGGCGGATGGCTTAAGTGGTAGAATGCCTGCCTAACAAGTGTGAGGCCCTGAGTTCAAACTCCAAGAACACTTAAAAAAAAAAAAAAAACACAAAAATGTGACCTGTATACAGGAGAAGGAAAAATTCATTTATAGAACTAAAAAATAAAAGAAATAATGAATATTTTTCATGAGGAAAAAGGAAGAAGAAAAAAAACTTTTCTTCTTCTATCCAGCCAAGCTTGCAGTCACAGACTAAAACCAAGAGAGGAAGCATAAAATGCTGGCCAACAAACTCTAGACTCAAAATATTTGTGCTTCCTAAAGAATAAACCACTAACTCCCACCACACACCACACCATGCTATCTATTCAGCACCAGGACACTTTCCCTCAAGTGTACTATTTTAGATACACAAAAAAGCATTGGCCCCACCACAAAGAACATAGAATCTCAGCCAGGCTGTAGGGTTTGAAATCCACTTACCTGCGAGATGGCCTTACAAATCTAGTATACTTTGAACAGCTGTGGCAATTAATAAACAACCCAACCCAGTATTACCTGCAATTACTATAGTCATTCACACTAAATGTACAGCAAAGATGAAGGGGACAAATGCACACTTTCTACTTGGATGATGACAGAGCTCTACAAACCGAAGAGAACAAAGTTCAAGCCTCCAAAACTAAAGTTCTGCTTTTATTTTCTCACACAGTTAATGACACCATTTTGTACCAAGTCAAGCAGATTCAAAACTCTGGGAGTTACATTAGAGTTTTTTTTTCCTCCATAGCCCATTCTCATGCAGTCACCTGATCTTCCATCCCCTACACAACTCACAGATACACAACCTCCTCTTTTCATTCCTATTACCACAAATCTAACTTAGGATTACCAAATTCTCAACAGCTCTGCCTTTATTCTGCCCATCTGCACCACCACATTTTTTCAAAACGGCTAGAGTGGTCTTCTAAAATTTAAGTCTCAAATCTTCTACCCCTATTTAACCCGAATTATCTCCTGCCCCCAGCATTGCTCTCAGATCTTAGCCTGTGTGTCTCTCCAACAGCATTTAACTGACACACACTACGTGATTAAATAAGTAAAAAAAAAATATGAACCTAAATGAGAAGACGGATAGCTTTTCTAAACATTTCACTTTTCATAAAGAAAAATATATTTCATAAAGAGAAATATATTTCTACCAACTGGGAGGGAGAAAGGAGGAACAGAGGAAAGAAGGGAGAGAAGAAAAGAAACTTGCAGGAAACTGTCCTACAGAAATAACTGATGATGTACAAAGATGTTAAGCATGTTGTATTTATAAAAAATCAGAACCCTAACTGTTAAATAGTATGGGGAAGAGACTTTAAACCTGCATGTTAAAAGGAAAAAAAAAACTGGTAGGAATATAAGTAAATGAAAATTTTGAGGTCCTTAATATATAAAGAGCTCTTACCAACAATCAAAAACGATTAAGGATATGAATGGCAAATTACTTAACCATTCTGAATCTTAAATTTCCTATTTTATGAAGCAGATAGCACTGTACTAACTAATCCAATTCTTTGTTGTGAAGTTTAAACAGGATGCCACAAACATCTGCAAGTAGGCATACAGCGTGGAATTTGAAGGGCTGGTGGAGTGGTTCAAGTGGTAGAGTGCCTGCCTAGCAAGCGTGAGGCCCTGATTCAAACTCCAGTGCAACAACAAGAAAAAAAGAGACCAGAATCCACAAACATCACTTAAAAAGTCAGCCTGTTTTCATTATCAATATCATCATCATTACAGTTTGCAAGGTGTCCACCAAAAGGCTCGTGTATTAAAGGCTTTGGTCTGCAGCTAGCACAGCTATTCAGAAGTCACTGGATCATGAGGGCACTAACCTCATCAACAGTTAAAATAGGTTAATGAACTATTACTAGGAGGTGGGGCTTAGTTGGAGGAGTAGGTCACTGGGAGCATGTCTTTAAAGGGTATTCTTAATGGCCTCTTGGTATCCATGGGATATGGTTCCAAGGAGACTCCCACTGATGAAAAATCTCAAATGCTCAGGATGCAAAGAGTTTAGTGCTATACTAATATATACTTGATCTGTTTTTCCCATACCACCACCCAACTTCTGCCTTTCAATGTGCCTCCTTTCCACAAATTTCACATTTTCACCTTAACACATAAATTAAGCACATTAATTTTTACATTACTTTTGGGGAGGCATGTTTTCACAAAATGAAGGGATGGGAAGATAAGCAGGTCACACAATGACTTAGACACAACTGACAGTAATGCAGGCTGACTGGAGCTTCTCTGCATCAACTGAACTGTAAAACACGTGCAGAAATTTAATGTCTTTTGTTCTTGTAATTTCTTTTGTTTGGGGGAGGTTTGAGGCGGTACTGGGGTTTGAATTCAGGGCTTCGAGCTTGGTAGGCAGGCACTCTCAACTTGAGCTATCCCTCCAGCCCTTTTTTGTACTGGTTATTTTGGAGATAGGGTCTCACTTTTTGTCCAGGCTGGCCTGAACTGTAATCCTCCTTGGCTTCCAGCCATCACTGGGGTGAAAGGCGCACACCACGATGCCCAGTTTTATTCTGTTCAGATAAATTCTGTTGAGGCAAAATTTTTGCCTGGGCTAGTATGGAGCTGCAAAACACCAATCTCAGCCTCCCCAAAACCACGTGTAATAAATCCATTGAGTAAGGCAGGCTTACTACATCTTGTCCCCAGACCCTTCCCCCCATCTCTGTGCTTTTTCCTAGCTGTCATGGGTAGTTTTTTCCCATCATACTTCCACTTTGTCACCCAGCTAAAAACATGGAGCCAGACGACCATGGACTAAAACCTCTGAAACTATGAGGCTTGTAAATCTTCTTGTCAGGTATTTTGTCATGGCAATGGAAAATGTGACTAGGGCTGTCATATAATATGTCTAAACTTATGACAACACTACACAAAGTGAAAAAAAAAATCACTGAATCACAGTTCTAATCATTATCATAAAATGAACAACCTATATGACAAGAGGGAAAAACCACACTACTCTATGAGACATTCCAAGGTAGATCTCCTTCCTTTTCCCCCAAAGTTCCTACTATAATGACCTCCAAAAGCAGGTTTGCTTTCATTATAAGTAAATGGTGTTATATACCTAATGCTATACCTATACGCTGCAGTTTGTGCATCACCATTGCCTTATATCCTATTACAAAAGCATGATCTGTTTATCCATTCTTCTTTTGGCTGAAATCTGAATTATACCCAGTTCAGGACTATTAGGAATGTTATCAATAATAAAAGTCCCAATACACATCATTTAGTATACAAGATGCTGTTCTGTTGTTTTTCCAGACTTCTTCTTGTTTTAAATTACTCAGTTTCCCCACTAGTAGTTTATGAAACATTTCAAGGCTCTGCTCCTTCACTTCACTACCATTAGAAACATCAGTGCTTCTCATTTCAGTCACTGGTTACAGGAGTGCAGTGGAGCTCCACGTTCTCTCCAACTGCATTTTTCTATTGACTCTGAGCATCTTTTCCTATGTGTAGCCATGTGGATACCACTTCTGCAACCCCCATTCTCATTTTATTACATTAAATTGGAAATCTTTTTCCTAGAATTTTTTAGGATTTTTTTTTCCTTCACATATTCAGGACATGCAGATCTATTAGTTATAGATTTATCTTGCCATTCTTTTAATGGTATTCTTTGATGAATGTAAATTCTCAATTTCTGTCAACTTTTGCTTTTTATCAGTACTTCAGGTGTCTTAAAGATTTTTTTTCCTGATACCAAAGTCATGAAAAGACCCAGATTGGGATTCTATTTGAATTTGACTTTTGCAAATGTGTGGGGCAGAGATGAAGTTTCATCTACCCCAACAGACACCTCATTGACTGAGAACCATTACTAAAAAGGCAGACATTCTCCACTGCTCTGGAATGTCACCCTTTAATCACATCCAGATACACCTGAATCTGTTTTTTTGTTTGTTTGTTTGTTTTGGTATTCTCTATTTTGTTCTTACCTAGATTTCTCTGTGCAAGAAGCAGGAGCTGCCTAATTACAACCGCTCCTTCAAGTATGTTTTGGCTATTTTTAGCCCTTTGTGTATCCCTATGATCCAGAATAAGCTCATCAAAATCACCAAAACAAACAGCACTGTCTCTG